TCATCCCAGTATGCCAAGGTTATGGGTTCGATCCCCAGTCAGTGTACATATAAGAAGCAACCAATGAATGAAAAAGTGGAAACTAATCAATTTCCCTCTCTCCCTGAAATCAGTAACACTTTAAAAATTATTTTGGATTAATGAAAAGGAGCAGATTCTAATTTGTTGGTCTTTAGCACTAAAGCTTAGATGTCAGCATTGCAGCAGTATCTCAAGATGATTTTCAGCATGTCAAAATCAAGTTAAGTTTCCCACTGTTGATTTTTATTTTCCAGGGGCACTTTCTTTCTCTAAGTTGAGGTAAGAATTTGAAATTTTGGGCTAACATCTATCTTGAGTAATCTTATCCTGCCAATGTTGAATGCTGGAGATGGACTATCTGAATCATAGTCTGTTCAGACTTCCAATGTTGATCAGTGCTGCTAGGCAATGTTCAACAGAGCAGAGGGGGAAAGGGTTATCATGGCAGGAAGGGAAATGAACAGTACTTGAACTACATTTCAATTGAGCAGGGTTTTTAATATTTTTAAAAGCTTTTTATAAATTCTTTTGCTTAGCTACAATATAAAAAGGCAAAGAGCACTTAGCCGGGAACAATAGCTACTCAGTTCATAAAAATCATTAGAAGGAACATTTTCTTGGTCTACCTTGCCCAGCAATTTTACTGGAAGGCAATAATCCAAATCACTTAGATTCTACCTTAAAAAAAAATGAGCCCTGAAAACCTTCTCAATTTTACCAGCTAATAAATTATTCTAACAAAAATCTTAATTTCATATTATGTGTAACTCCACCAGAAATGAAATTTTAGCTCATAATTCATGTAATGTTTTTGACAAGTACATGATACAGATCTAGTGTTAATGAGATATGCTCTTTTGGTTGCCTTTCCATTAGGAGGGAAGCTCGATGCTGACACATTTACTCACTGCCATCAAACCCCCCATGCAGCAGAGGCCTTATCTCAGGAGGTGACTGCTGAGTGCAGTGCACGGTGTGAAATGAGCTGGCCTGCTTGGATTTTCACTCCTCACTCAGCCTCTGTAGCTTGTCTTACGGGGTTGAGTCAGAGAAACGTTACATCTTTGACATCAAGGGCCTGGCTAATTCATCTTCTCTGACAAATGTCATTAAACTACCTTAAGCTAATTGACAACTGTGTTGAAGATATGTCATTAAAAGCTCTTCACTGTGTTCAAGGTTTCCTATGACAACCAAAGGATTTTTGTACTTGGATAAAATATGTTATTTCTAATGACCCTGCTGGGTAATCACACACTTCCGTTTCTTAATTCAAAAGTACCAAAAACAAAACAAAACAAAACAACAAAACACACACACACACAAAGAAAAAAACAAAAAACAAAAAACTCTTCATGTTTAAGAATCTTTTCTATTTAGTTAGAGCATACCATACATTTTAAGAATGAATTTGTATCTTTACTGCATGACATAGTAAATGTGCATATTTGCTGAATGACTAAAATGCATTTCAAATCAAATAAATGGTTTAAGACTAAATAAGACAATCTTCCACAATCGACGCACTTTTCCCTTAGTAACTCCTCTCCACTTTTGACTTTATGCTGGAGATTGGCATCATGAACCATAGTCTAAATGGCATCCTGGACTCCCTTTAATTAGCTGTTCATTTGACTTACACTTTCTCTGGAATCTAAGAAATTGCTTTGTTTTTAAAGGTCTTTCTTGCTCCCTCAGATTGCATCTAAGATATAAGAATAAACAGAAGCTGCAATAGCAACAAAGACTTAATTAAGAATATGCAATGACAGCAAATATGTAAAAGCAATCTTTACTGAAGATAGGTAACCATTCAAATAAGCTTTTACAAATAATACAGGGGAGGGGTAGCTATTTAAAATCCAATTTTATGACACTGCCACTTAGAATGAATTAATATCTACTTAAAATAGCAGTTGTATCATCTGAAACTGTTTCAGGTAGTTGTACTTAAATTCTACATTCCAGATCATTTTTTTTTTTTAAAACAATGTCTTAACTGATTTGACTAGTGTTGGGGGGACCCAAATCCTGCCTTGATTCATAGTAAAGATGACCACTAATTATTTCACAGTCCTCTCTATCCCTTTGAAATCTAGGCAGGCTCTATGACTGACAGTGTTTAGATCGAAGTGGAATTGCAGCTTCCACTTCCTGTCTCTTTGGACCACTTTCTACCATCGTATGATGATACTCTAGTAGCCACTGGAGAAGCCTCTATGGAGAGGACCCAGGGCTCCCAGCCAGCAGCCAGTACTCATTTGAAGTGGCTCCCAACTGAGGCCGCATGAAACAGAGACGAGCCACCCCCACCATGTGCTCCCAAATCGCAGATTCAAGAGTAAGATGATTACTAGAACACACCTCAAACCTTAATTAAAGGTATTCAAAGATTCAAATTTAAAGCAGTGAAAGAAGTAATACTTATATTTTTTTGAATACTTGCTATGTGACTAAATGCTTTACACATCCTTATTTCCTAAGATAAACAATTTAGGATTATCATTTCCTCTATTCTATAGATAAGACAATTACAGACACTACCCAAGATCATGTTATAGAAGGATAATATCAAAACCATATCTTACTCTAAGGCGCATGCTTGGAGGAAAATGGGAATGAAAGAAATTCCAAGTTAATGTTGAGGACTCAAATTCTCATGAACATAGTATGTATTAGGAAATATGTCAACTAAAAGGTATGTCCTCAGGGTGCCAATATATTGCTTAGCATAACTTTCAAAATTAGCGATAACATTTTGTGAAGTATAATATTCAGAAAATTTTTTTTAGTACTTACAACTTTATGCTACTAAATACAATGTTCCACACTGAAGAGGTTACAAAGATAAATGACAACATTTTTGTTCAAAAGGTTCTTTAATGGAGAAATAAGGCATATTACACACAATCCTAAGACATAAATACCATAAAGTGAGAAATAAAGTGGTGTGGGAATATATTCATTCATTCACTCAACTAATATTTATTGGGTGCCAATGTAGCAGTAAACAAGAAAGATGCGGTCCCTGCTCTCAGAGAGCTGATTCATGTCACTTTTACTAGAAGCACCAGAAAATAAGAGATACATTTTAGTTTGGCCTTCAGGACCTCTAGACTCTGAGCATGTGAAGATCTGAGGATCAGAAGGGCATCCAAGGTACAAAGATAATAGTGAGCAGAAAAACGAAAAACACCAAAGCACAATAAAGCACAATAAAATTAAGATGTGCAAAGATACTTTAAAGCAATGATATTTTACTAACTCTGAAATTCCATCAGCTTTGAGTCAGGCCATTAGTTTATGTGCCAAAAGAAAACATACTATACACTTATAGCATGGCTCTCAATCAGGGGAGATCATTTGGCAACCTCTGTAAACATTTGTAGTTGTCACAACTGAGGGGGTGCTACTGGTCTTTAGCAGGTACAAGCATGGATGTTGCCAATCACCTGACATTGCACAGAAGAGCTCCCACAAACAGGAATCATTCAACTCAATACTGAAAATATTGCCAACATAGAGAACTTCCGAACTACAGGATGCAATAAACCAAAGAAGCATTTAGATATTAAACATTATTTTGACAGATAAAATACAGTTCAGTTTATCTGGGATGAACTCAGAATTTGTAAAGTAGTACATGCTAGGAAATAATGCTGGTAAGTCTGTATCTGACTCTGTTTCCTCACCTTTGGAATAGTAAAGTGATGATGACCAGTGGCTGTTTTAAGAAAGTAATTTAATTCAGTGTAAACCAAAGGGCCAGCCCCTCAACACCATATGTTAACCCTTTGCTTTTGAGAAACCCACACTGTACTCACAGTAATAAATGTTCCATTTCTATTATTCTGACTGATCTCAGAAAAAAATACTGAGATCACATAAAAACAATATTGCTTATTATTATTATTATTTTTTAAGTTCAGCTTTATGCCACTTATTCTATGGAGCTTCCTTATTGCTCTCAGTTTAAAATATTTTTTTTCTTCTCTTTAACTTCCTTAGCATATCATCTATATGTCTCTAATAGTATTCATGCGATTTATCTTTTTTTGAAATATAAGACCCTTTGGGTCAGGATCCATGTCTGGTTCACATCTGTAACTCCCACAGGGCCCACAATAGCACCCTACACATTGTAAGTGGTCAATAAATATCTGAATGAATAATTGAGTAAATACATAATACCTGATGACTATAATTAAATACAAACTCCTCAGACTTCTCACAGCTCTTCAGCCTTTCCTCAGAGGGCTCATTTTGTAAATCTTTAATCATTTTAGTAGCTCTCCAAGTTCTCATGCTTTGGCTATAGGGTCTCAGAGAGAGCAGAGTTCTTTAACGAGTCCTAGCCACTACTTTAGAAAATAGCATTTTGTAAATTCCATTTAGTTTCAGATCATTTCCCCATGGGATAGCAGTCAGTGTTAGGTCTCAAAATACTTACAGCCCCTTACACACTTGACTACTAAATTTCTCTGAGAAAATGGGGTCAATGTGAGTACAAACATAGGAAAGGGCAAAAGTAGATTTACAGTAGCTTTATTAACTCAAAAAAATACCACAATGTAACTGTAAACCTACTTTTGCATACTCTGTATAAACAGTAAGACATTTCTATTTATTGCTCACAAATACCAATTACATTATTGAGGATCATATTTTTTGAATACTTTTTTTGGGAGAGAAGAATATGGGGAATTTGAAACTAATAGGACAGAAATATTAAAATATATGATTATCACAGAGAAAGTAAGACAATAAGAAAGATGTTATAGAATGTTAAGGTGTTCTTTTAAAAGATAATAAAAAGACAGATTATTAATCTTTTATTATTATACCACGTAACAGTGGAATAAATTATTCAGGGTTAGCACATGGGAATTACGATGGTCAGTAGTGGTTTAGATTAAATACACAGGTCTTTGTTTTTTAAGCACCCTTTTTCCCCCTTCATTGTAGTCCTTGAGCATCAATCAATATTTAGTGGTTTCTTCCAGCAAGTCTTTTGCTTCATTTATTTTGGTTGCTAAGTACGGAGATCCACCTGAGGACAAAGAAAAATAATTGAATTAAAACACATTTTATTATTGACATTTTTAAGTCTCGAAAAGAAATACAATCTTAATTATAATTCTGTAGTATTTTCCCACACTTCCATTCTCTGACAAATTAATGTATAAGTTGACTAGAAATCAAAACAGAATAAATTAAATTTGTTTAGTGAAGCACTACAGATACCCAACAATCAAAGACAACATCTGAGAAAGATAATGAAAGAAAGTTATAATCAGGAATAATTTAAAAAACACTCAAACATTTTGCTGATCATACATACATTAACATTCAAATATTTAACCAGAGAATATTTTGAAATTAAATGAATGGTTAGGTAAATAAAGAAATCTAAGGGCTCATTTAGAGCCTAATTAAACCTTAGAATTCACAAAAATAAAATACAAGTTAAAAAGGCAAGTATATAGTTGTTGTTTTTTTTTCATTCATATTTACTAATACGGATGAAGGAATAAATGAATGGTAATAAAAATAATGTTAAAGAAAATGCTCCCTGTTCTCTGAAATGATCCTATTAGAATACTTATGAAATACAATCTCACATTTACTGTGCCCTAAAATAAAATTAAATCAGTTTTTTCTTAGAGTTCTTTTAAATGAATTCTTTCTAATCCAAACAGCAAGAGAAAAACTGAGCTGAATTTCAAACTTAGAATCATTATAAATCACAAACCGAATCTATCTGACATACAAAAATACTAGCCCCACATTATCATATTAAACCTGTTTAAGCATGGTACACCTTCAAACTTCTTGTCCTATAAACACTTTATTGCTTAACAGTCAAGCTAACAATCACTATAGTTTACCAGTTTCTCTGTTTGCTTTTATTCTCTCCTTGAGTTTTCAACCATCGATAGCTATTAAAAACATTATAAGACCTCATTAGCTTAAAACAATCCAAAAAACATATAGATATTATTGGTGTAAATTGCCCTGAGTTTATTCAAACCTTTTATTGATTAAGGAAAAAGAAAGGGAAAATAGATCAACAAACACAGTGTTGTAGTATAAAGGACAATGCAGGAGAAAGCTAAATTTAGTTTTTTGCCCTTGAGTATATCAGTTACATTTTCATATCAAGATCTGAATCACTATATTTATGCAATATATCACAGAGTGTCCTTGAATATACAATAAGAATTATATATGACGTTCCATACAAACTTGATTATGAAACTGATTTCATTATTTAAAAATAATCTTGGAATTAGGTAATGTCAATCTTTTTAAGTTATTTAAATTTTTAGAGCTTACCAAGGTAATGTCAGGCATCTTGTATGTCCTCAATAACTATTAAAATATTAACTCAAACACAATCTTTAATTGAATGGTATGCATTCTGGATATTTAAATCACAGGCTATAAATGCTCATTTAGCAGATGAAATAATGAAAGGTACAAATCAAAAGTCTCATTTAAACATTATACTCATTGATGGCAATGCTAGAAGAATGCAGGACTTTTCACTTATGTGCACGGTAGAAATTTTGGCTTCGCTTTCATTCCATCCTCCTAGGATTTGGAAAAGTTCCTAAACCCAAAATTACAATTCCTACATTCCCTTCAAGTAGTGTTTGCTACAAATTGTGAAATTTGAAAAGCTGAAGTGGGAAAGGCTTTCTTGCTGGGCCTCTTTGTTATTGCTGCCAGCAAGCGAGGTCGTGGAGTAGCAGTGACAGCAACAGCCGCAGTACAGTTCTAGTGGCAGCCCATGAGGCAGTAGCTTTCTTGACAGAGCAGCTGGTTCAGAAAATTATTCTTATAGGCCAAGGATTTATTCCTTCTGATCTTCCAACAATTTGAAATCATTAGTTCCCTACACTAAATGCCCTCCTACTTAACGCATCTTGTTTCTGGCACTGACTCTTGATTGCTATAACAATATGTGATATATATCCTATATTAAATGGGAAAAATACACATAAATCTTTCAATTTTGCTCAGTTTTCTTGGGGAACCATCTAGATTCCATTTAATTAGGATACTCATCTCACCCTTGACCTCAGCACCTTTGTACTTCCACTAAACTCTGCTGGAACTCTTCTGCTTTGGGCTGTGATGAACTATCATATTTAGACCCACCCTCCCATTAACATTAACTAGAAGAGTTGAATAAAATACAACACATCAATATGAAAGAACAGGAGGTCTAACCAGTCAGCTAAGTGTTGAAGGTAAGATCCTAGAGATAAGAAAATTGCACTGTTATGAGCCCAACATTCTGCACTGATTTATCCCTTGATATTGGGACAATGGGAAGAAATATCAAAGAAGCTAAACAACAGATAGTATCCTACATAATAAAAGGCTAATATACAAATAGAGCAACAGAACAACTGATCAACCAGTGGCTGTGAGATGCGCTGACCACCAGGTCAGGCGTTGCCCGCAACAAAAAGGTGGAACAGGTGAGCAGGGTTGCCAGACCAAGGTGGAGAACTAGTCACGTTTTCATTATCGGGTGAGCCTCTGGTGGTTACTGAAAATTCCTTGCTCCCATGCACCGAGGTCCCACCTGGCACTGGCACCCACTGCTGGTGCCAGCACAGACCCTGATCACTTAGGGCTAATAGTGGGTGTGAGCTGTGGCTGACAGCCCTGGTCATCCCTGAAGGCTTCTGCACCTCCCCCTGCTCCTGAGGCACAATCAGCCACCACTCACACTAGCTGATGGCCTTGGCCCCACTCCCATCTACTGCTGGCACCAGCCCCAATCGATCCTCACCATCAGCGGCTGTGAGCGGGTCCAGCGCTGACAGTGCATGGGAGCAGCAGTGGCAAGACTGGGACTGCTGGCAGACAGTGGAAACAGGGATCATGGTGGAAGGGGCTAGATGGAGGCACAGAGGATGGTCTGCCCCTGTGCCTACTGTAGCCTCATGGCCCACAGTTCCTTTCAAGATGCATGAATTTGTGCATTGGGCCCCTAGCATACTATACAATTCCACTTATATGAAATGCTAGAAAAGAGATACCTAATGTATGGTAGCCCAAATTGTGATACAGACTGACAATGGGAAGAAATATCAATGAACTTTTAGAGTTATAATAAGCTAATATTTTGTTTTTATGTATATCTTTTGAGAACTTTCTTCATCAGGGCTTCCTATCAAAGATATGCTAGCCTCATAAAAAGAATTAGAATGCATATTCTTTTCCTTTGGGTTTTGAAGAAATTCACTTGTAAAACTATCCTGGCCAAACATTTTATTTGTAGAAAGGTTCTTAACTACAAATAGATAGGATCCTTTTTTTTTTTTTTTGTCTAAAGTTTTACATATGTCTTCTTTTTCCCTGAGTGACCCCCACTGCCAAGCCATTCCCACCCAGGGAAAACCCCCACTGTCCCAGTATCTGTGTCCATTGGTTATGCTAATATCCATGCATACATACAAATACTTTGGCTGCTTTCTAACCCCCACCCCTACCTCCCTACCATTTGCATCTGGATCTATTTTTGTTCATCAAAACATGTTGATCCTTATATTCCACATATGAGTGAGATCATGCAATATTTATCTTTCTCTGAATGGCTTAGCATAATGCTCTCTAGTTCCATCCATGCAGTTGCAAATTGTAAAAATTTCCTCTGCTTTATAGCAGCATAGTATTCCATTGTGTAGATGTACCATAATTTTCTAATCCACTCATCTGCTGATGGGCATTTAGGATGTTTCCAAATCTTAGTTATGGTGAATTGTGCTGCTATGAACATAGAGGTGCATATATCCTTTCTGATTGGTGTTTCTAGTTTCTTAGGATATATTCCTAGAAGTGGAATCACTGGGTCAAATGGGAGTTCCATTTTTAGTTTTTTGAGGAAATTCCATCCATACTGTTTTCTACAGTGGCTGCACCAGTCTGCATTACCACCAGCAGTGCACGAGGATTCCTTTTTCTCTGCATCCTCACCAGCATTTGTCATTTGTTGATTTGTTGCTGATAGCCATTCTGACAAGTGTAAGATGGTATTTAATTATTGTTTAGACTTCCATTTCATGAATGATTAGTGACTTCGAGCATGTTTTCATATGTATCTGGTCCTTCTGTATGTCCTCTTTTGAAAAGTGTCTACTTGGGTCCTTTGCCCATTTTTTCATTGGATTGTGTATCTTCCTTGATACACAAGGAAGATACACAATCTTCCTTGTATGAGTTTTCTTAAATTTTGGAGATTAAACACTTATCTGAAATAGCATTGGCAAATATGTTTTCCCTTGCAGTGGGCTTTCTTGTTGTTTTGTGGATGGTTTCTTCTGATATGCAGAAACTTTTTATTTTGATGTAGACTCATTTAATTATTTTCTCCTTAGTCTCCATTGCCCTAGGAGCTATGTTGGTAAGATATTACTATGCGATGTGTCTGCTATTTTGTTGCCTATGGAGTCTTTGAAGGGTTTTTATGGTTTCCTGTCTTACATTTAAGTCCTTTAGCCATTTTGAGTTTGTTTTTGTGTATGGTGTAAGTTGGTGATCTAGTTTTACTTTTTTCCATGAATCTGACCAATTTTACCAGCGCCATTTATTGAAGAGATTGTCATGACTCCATTGTATGCTCTTGCTTCCTTTGTCAAATATTAATTGAGCATACCAGAGTGGGTCATTTTCTGGGTTTTCTGTTCTGATCCATTAATCTATATGTCTGTTCTTGTGCCAGAACCAGGGAGTTTTGAGAACCGTGGCTTGGTAATATAGCTTATTGTGATCCCTTCTCTGGTATTGATCCCTCCAACTATATTCTTCTTTTTCAGGATTGTTGTGGCTATTCAGGGTCTTTTTTTTTTTTTTTTTTTTTATTCTAGATGAAATTTGAGAGTTTGTTCCAGATCTTTCAAATACGCCCTTGGTATTTTAATGGGGATTGCATTAAATATTTTGATGGCTTTGGGTAGTATGGACCTTTTAGTGATGTTGATTCTACCAATCCATGAACATGGTATGTTCTTCCATATGTTTCTGTCTTTCTCT